AGACTAAAGGGGAGGAAGAAGGAGCTGAGATTGGAATATATCTTTTTGGATCTTATGTGCCTTGTGTTCTTCTAATTTATGCCTTATAATTTGAGTACTTATTTATGTTAACTTTTTTTTTTTGGATATTTCAAAGTTTATTTCTATTAGTTTCTTAGTTTAATGTTTGCTAGGGATTAGCAAAGCCTACATTAAGGGGTGTGTTGACACTTCAATATTGCATTATTTTATAGTTTAACACATTCACTTTAGGATTGCTAACAAATTAACTTGCTTCACTTAGTGCATATTGCATCTTATGCTTTGATTTATGTGTTTGTAGGTAATTTGGGTGTAAAGGTGGAAATTAAGCATTAACAGGATGGCAATAGATAATTTGGAATGAGTTTGCTTGGGAGAAGATGAAGCCGAGAGTCTTAAAACTATTCTAGAAGAAAAGAAAAGTTCTACTATTTGGTGTTGTACCTATGGGAAGGCAGAAAGATGAAGGTTCTACTGGTATTAAGTCAGTTCAACCGGTAGCTTGAGTTACAATACACTGCACTTTTTCATCAGAGAAGTCCAACCGATAGGTGGAACATGTTCTACCAGTAGGAAATGTTATAGTACTTTTTTTCAAGGAGCCCTATCAGATGTTCAATCGATAGGAAAAGCTACAAAAGTTTCAAAAATTTTATCAGACAAAGTTCTACCGGTAGGTAAAGGATATTCTACAGGTAGGTTGTGCTACGAAGGGATTTGCTACCGGTAGGTGACGGTAGATTTCCATGGGAAACTCAATTAAATATCAGATCTCGCGATATCTTTTGGGGATTCTTAACCAATAAAAGAAGGAGATAATTTTGGGGAAGATGTTTACCAAAGATCTAAAGATTCTCCTTCCAGCCATTAAATAAGAGATAGGGATATCACGTTTTGGAGATTTTCTTCTACTTTTTTTAGTTCGTTACATTAGAGAGTTTTAGGTTTATTTTATAGAGTTTTGTGTTATTCTTCTTTTAAGTTCAGATCTTTCATTTTTTTAAACAATTTTTACATTGAGTTGTCTTTACTTTCGAAACCTTGTAATTTACATTTAGTTTTTCAAAATAGGCAAATCAATTTCAATTCAATCTTTACCTTTCTGAATTCAATTATGTTCTCTTTAATACTTTGTGTTATTTCTATTATCATGAGTGAGTAGTCTTCCTCTAGATAATCTGAGGATAGAGTCCTAACCTATGAAGTAGGGTATATGCTTTAATCTTGGGTTTTAACATTTATGTGATTGATTGAATATGTTATATTTTCAAAAACCTAATTGATTTGCATACTTCCCGATTATCTGTGTACATTTAATTTTTGTATAGATAAGTAATGGTGTTTTCTATGACCTTTAGGATATCGATTCTCCACCATAAACCATCTTTCATTTGCTACATAAGTTTTTTCAAAGTTTCTAATTGAAAATCATCCATCTATAGTAGTTTGAATACGAAAGAAGATGAGTTATAGATTTATAGTAGAAACTCTTATTCATAGGTGGGACAAATTCTGAAGATTATCCAGTTTTTCATTTATTGAATTTCAATTTCATTAGTAGTTAACTCTCAAAATTCTTAACTTCAAAGAGTTTTTTCCTTTTATTTTTCATCACCCTAGACACCAATTCTTTCCTAGAAGAGACGACCTTGGATTTTTTGTTCAAGTTACTACACGATACTTTTCTTTTACATTTGGGAGATTTTTGTGAAAATACAACCCCTTTGGAAAGCAAACACCTGTGTGGATTAAGGCATCAATATCCTTTGTAATTTATTAGGTAACCCCAAAAAATACAAAGGACAGATTTAGGTGCTATCTTATGGGAATTGGTTGAACTGATATTCGGAAAACTCCCACAATCAAAGACCCATAAATGAGTGTATGAGGGTTGAAGCACCATTGGTGTTGTCGAACAAATGCATGTCTAAGATGGTGCGATGCATTTGTTCGACAACACCATTTCGTTGATGCTTATGAGGACAAGAAAATCTTAATTGGGTACCATTCACATTCAAAAAATTACGAAATGCTTGATTGAGATATTCTCGACCACCAGCGCATTGATATGCTTTAATGGTAGTATCAAATTGAGTTGCCAAAAATTTTTGGAAGAGTACAAATTTAGAGAAGACTTCAGATTTTTTACGAATAGCATACACCCAAGAATAACGAGAATGGTCATTCAAGAACAACGCATAATAGTGAAAATTAGTAAATGAGATAACTGTGGAAGTTCATAAATGTAAATCAAATACAAGAGAGGAACGGTTGTCGGAGTCGGGAAAGGGAAGCCTAATATTTTTGCTAAGTTGACAAGAATGACATGGTGCACTGTCAAGTTTGGAATGAGAAGAGGTTACAACTTTATTGTGCAATAAAGTAGATAAAATACAGTTGCTTGGGTGCGATGCCAAAGCTGCAGAGAAACCTAGGAAGTGGTGAAAGCAGACTGCGAGGAACCAACACAAGCTTGGGAGGGTGGGATGAAATAGAATGCCCCGGAACTATTGCACCTAAGAAGCTCCTTCTTCGTCCGGAAGTCCTTACCAGAAAAATAAAATGGTCAAATTCAATGTTAAATTGATTTTCATTTGTAAATTGGTGAACAGAAAGCGAATTTTTTTGAAGACCAGGAGCGACAAGAACATTATGAAGATGAAAGGTGGAAGTCGGTGTAAGAAGGTTAGAGTGACCCATGTGAGAAAGAGTCACAAGCCATTACCGAATGCGATCAAGACTATCATAAGGGTGAGAAATCATAAGAGTACTTGGCGAGGAAGTCATGTGATTAGATGCACCGGAATGGGATATCAATTGGGATCATAACCACCTAGTATAGGAAGAGAAGGTGGAGAGTACGAGTAATAATTTGCAGCAAAGGACATATGATGATGTGGACACTCACGGGCAGTATGATTAAACTCACGGGCAGTACAATAATTTGCAGCAAATGACTACTGTGGCATTGGACTTGTACCAAGAATAGAAGAACCACGCCCTGTCCATGATTGGAAAGATTTCCGATCAAGAGAAAATGAGTTTCGTCGAGAAGCCGACTGACACGAGTTATGAGAATCAGTTCTGAAGAGGTGTCATGAGAAGATGATGAACGCCAATCATAGCGAAAATCATTATTTTGTAATGATTACGGCAACCATGTCCCTGACCACTGCCACCACGAGACGAGGATGACTGTTTATTGGCGTCAAAAGCTGTGTGTAGCAGAGGAAGAATTAGAATTCTGGTGTTGAATGCGATTCTCATGAGTGAAGAGAAGAGTCCGAGCTTCCGCAAATGAAGGAATTGGCAGTCGAGTTGAAATGGTAGAACTTTGATATTCTGAGGGAAGTCCTGCCAGAGATCGGAGTTCCAATGGAAGCAAGAGAATCTGCTATGGATTTGAGTTGTTGCAGATATATAGTCATTGACTTATCACCCTTTCTATGATTATGGAACTCCATTCTAAGTTGGAGTACACGAAGTGTACTTGATCATGAAACAATCGTTCAATCGTGAGCCAGGTTTCACGAGCAGTCTGAGGAAGATTGGGTTTGCTGATAGCATGAAGGATATCGGCAGAAACAGTAGCTTGGATCCAAGGTAAAACGATATATTCAATTTGCATCCATACTTGTGGAGATGAAATTGGAGAGAGGCATGATGGCTTAGACTCAGATGCAATAGCACTGGTAGAAGATGGGCGTGAGGAGGCCATTTGAATGGGAGGGAAGCAAAGAAAAAAGAGGATATGAGGCCATCTAACAACTCTTTTAGTGATCAATTCTCCATGTTTAAATATTAATTTTAATAAAAAAATTTAATTGACTATATTACCCTTAAAAAATAAATACACCATTAAATATTTTAATAAAGTGATAAAAGACTTTTCAAAAACCCTATCAATCAAACCTTATTCATTTTATATATGCAAAAATAACATTGTGCCTACATGCATACACACACACAATTTTTACTGAAAGAGTTTTAACCTTTAAGATAAAAAATAATTATATATATAATTGTTTAAAAGCAATATATGTCACATCAACATAATTTTTCAGTTACAATAAATTTTTCAAGTTATATTAAGTTTTTTGTGTGCAAATAGATTGTAATGTATTTTTAATAAGCTTTATAATATGTAAAGTAGTATATTAAATTTTATTCAAATATACCTAACTAATTCCTAATTATAGGAAAGTTCCAAATATAAATAGTATATTAACAATTATTTTTATTTTATTCAATAAATTATAAGTGAAATTCTAAATGAATGTCAACAAATTTTATTTTTAAACGTCACTATCAATAACAAACTTTTAAAAAAGTAGAACTCTAGCTATTTTTTAAATATTTTTGGGAATATTCAAAATTTTTATAATTATATAATAAAGTACTAGCAATGAAAAATAAGTTTTAAAATTTAAGATGATAATTAATTATGGTTATACCTAAAACTTTTTATTAATTTTTGTGTATGAAAATTGTTCACGTGTAACACATGTGGTGCATTATTAGTATTTATAAATAATAGAAACTATAAGTCGCAAAAATGTTATGATAAAAGCTTAAATCAAAACTATCAAAACTAGGAAGTTAACATCAAAATAAAAAATTTAACCATTTAGAGTTACAATTTTGGATTTGGGTTATTATTTGTGTTGGTCTAGATCACGGGTTGGTTTAGAAATTTAGTTAAAATTAAGGGTAGGAAATTTTGACAATGTGGATTACAAACCCACCCTGTTGGGGACTCACAACCCCAATTAGTGTGAGCTTGCGATTTGTTCAATCATAATAATTACGGATTATTCAGAAGAGCTTCACCGGAAATGAATATATCATGATAAGACATTACACATGATCCATGACATACTGATGTAATTGGACAGGAGTAATGCATCAAGATTAGTCCAGGAGGAACCCAAAATGCAAATACAGTGGAAGATCTTATTATATTTATGATAAGGGCGTTGAAGTTTACAACATTTATTGTAATACCATGAGAAAAGAACAAGCTGCCTTACGAAATAAAACGTATTCCGTAGATGTTCAGTGTTTCATCTGGTATTTCATGCTCAGACAACCTCTAAGCCTTCTTGAACATGAGCTTAAATGATGCATCACCTAGAGCTAGACGTCTCACACCATTCTGAATGTAAATACCAATGTCTTTGCATATGACTTTGCAGTAATTACACACTGTTGGACAGAAAACCAGCTTGTAGTCATCCCCATCTTTTTCAATCTTAAACCAATTGTCTGTGGTTTCACGACCAGGATTTCCTTCAACTCCACCACTTGTCACGAAATATTGTCTTAATGATTTGTCGTAATCAATCTTCCACACAGTAGACTGAACACATATTGTAGCTGCAGAGAATTTGATGTTGAGATCGGTGGATTCCCGGATCACGCCTTTCTTGGGATTCACCGGGGAAAATGTCAATGGGAAGCCATTGTCAACCTCATGTTGCTCTTGGACAACGTCGAGTGGACAAGTATCATTGCCAGGACTGGCTAGTGTGAGTCCACCGCCCATGCCACGGAAAACAGGCAGAATATAGTAGTCCACGCCTGTCCGTAGCTTCTTCCCTGCTATGTCCAGGACGGGTTCTGGTGCCGCAGCAGCGGCCGTACTAAGGACGGCAAAGCCCAGAAATGAAAGCAAGAGAAAAGTAGTCTTCATTGTGAGCTGTGTTTGATGTGTACACTTGATGAATGGAAACTGCTAAGGAACTGCATTTATAGAGCTGCAGAAGAAAGGGCACATGGGTTGGAATTATAAAAAAAGAATTTTTCTGGAGTAGTGGGATTTCAAGAAAAGTGGCTGAGATCTTCGGTGTGAAAAAGACCAATTCAGTGGATTGCACCCAATTTCGAGGGACATACCCAAAAAGACACTGTAATTTAGAGTTGCAAATACTATGTCCCTTTGATAGATCCAATTGATTTATAATGTTCAACAGTACTTGGAACATTGTTTTGCTTTGACAGATTTCATGTTTTTTCTATATATGTTACAAAGTAATTTGATTTTTCCAAACTTGAATGTTAAGTCTTTTAAGTATATATAATATTAGAGTCTTTAAAATGGGTTCCACAATATCCAGAGAATCTTGTACTTACACATATTGACATTGACAAAATAAATTATAATTTGACTAAGTTTTTGGATATTTTATTTCTTCTGATAAAATTAAAACATTTAAGTGGCACCTCCTTTGGACTTATAACTACAATGCAATTACCTGCATTTCACAGATTTTTTTTGGAGGTTTTATACCAAGGCTCAAACTTTCGGCCTACGAGTTTATCACTCATTCTATATTCATCATTTAACTAACCCATGAGAGTTTAGGATATACTTTTTGTTCGCTGTATATTAGAAACTGGAGGTGGTTGTTTTGAAGCAGTCCAACCCCACCATGGACCGAACCCATTAGCTAAAAGCTGCCAGAGATTCAATGCTATTTACCAAAGAAAAAAAGAACTTTTCATTTTGTTACTTTTTTTGCTGGATAGTAAATAGTCAGAGCCTCTTATCTAGGCATAGATACAATTTTCAATCTGTACAATACTATGTTTGAATTGAACATGTTTGCATATTGTGATGTGGAGTCAACATTTTCAGGGATAAGATCAGATGACTCATATCACGTGGTGTGCATGTGATTTTTAGCTAAACATAATTTGGCCTTAGTTTATGGAACGGTAAGGAGTTACAATTCAATCCAGGCATGATTTGAAGATTTCCATTATGATTTAATGTGATTAAGTTACAACCTAAAAAAAATTTAAAAATTGGGATCGATCATAAAAGTAACTCTATTTTATCATAACTTCTTTAAATTGAATGTTAATCTCACTCTTATTTGTAACAAATTTCGATAGCGTACTGAAACATAACTCTTTGATATTGTATTAATCTGGCCCAATTTATGAAGAATGAATCATATTTGTTCTAATCATTTAAAATACTGGACGCTAGGTATCAAGTTCTGATCCACTCCGCATCTAAATTTTCTCAATTCTCTTGTTGTTAAATTTACAAGTCATGTGTTAATGGGAAACCTATTCACGTTGCCCCCAAAGTTTTATGTTTTGTTGGTATTGCACAACAGATAATTAACATAAATAATACTTGTTGAAAGATAAAAATTCAGAGATAGTAAAACAATAAAAATATGATACAAAGATATAACGTGGTTTGATACAGCATACCCATCTTAGTACATCATACTTATATCAATGGACCAAAAACTTATATCGATATATTATTTATTAAAAAATTGATCATCTAATAACTAATTATATAATACTCAACCTTATTTATAGGATAAAATATTGTAACTCAAATTTATTCAGGTACAATTTAATCTTTATATTTCCTATCACACAGTGCTTTAAAAATTGGCTCGTCCCGGCATGTTCACCTGCGAACCCGGTGAATTGGACCTTGAACCTAGCCGGTTGAGCAATTAGATCTTAAGTGTCAAACCCGTTTAAAAATCGTTGAACCGAGCGATTTTCAGACAAATACCTAAAATTGGATGGTTCTGGTAAAACCTAGCAAGTTCAGTAGGTTTATAAAATTCCAACCTTTTTGGGCATTTTTGCCCTAATCTCAAATCCAATCTCTCTGTTTTCTCTCGCCATCTGATGCTCAATGGCGTGAGTCGCCTAATCACTCTCACCAACTCATTAACCTCCAATCATCATCTCCGGCAAAGACATCTCAATCTTCTCATCTATTTTCTCTGGCATCCTCATCTCGTCTCGTCTCGTCTTGTCTTCTCTCTCTCTCTCTCTCTCTCTCTCTCTCTCTCTCTCTCTCTCTCTCTCTCTCTCTCTCTCTCTCTCTCTCTCTGTGTACTAGTAACAATATTGGATTATAGTCCACTAATTCCAAACACAATCTATGGGCGATTTCTCTCATCCTCTCACATTTATAAAAATAGATCTAACCGTCTCACAGTGGCAACAAGGGTACAACATCTTAGCAAGCAATCTTTCTCATCTCTAAGTCTAATAAACATTATATATGTTAGTTTTTCTATTATTATAATTTTTAGCATATATTTTATTATTATTAATTTAAAAAAAAATTGTTATATGACTGGTTTGACTAGTGGTCCACTAGTTGAACCAGTGACCCACTGACCGGTATTTTTGTCGGGTTTATGTTTGGGACACGTTTTAAAACTATGTTATGACATGTCTAATATACGTATTTATGGTATATTAAAACTCTTCCAATATATCATATTTCATATAGAATTCTCACATTGATTACCTAACAAACTCTTGTTCATAAAAATTTAGGAGTTTGGGTCAAATTTCAATAGCTTCCCTTGAACCAAAATTTTCAAATTTGGTCATGCCCAATATCGGGCTTAGCACCCTTGATTTTGATCCACAAATCTTTTCAAGCACCACGTACAAACCTGCTATTCTGAGTCGCCATAATCCTCTCTGTATTTCAAGAACCTATATTTTGGCATGCATCACTTGTGCATCTCTGCTCGCGTCTTCCCTCTTCTTGGAAGGTTTCAATGGCCCAGTGACTCGTAACTCAAAAGACACAACATCATAACTATTGAGTTGATGTCAACCCAATAGGTCACAAACAATTAGAATACCACGACTTCAACTCAAAGGGCCCAAAATCCTGAAGAAATATCTTCAATTTAGCACATGTGATAATTTTCAAAATCTAGTCAACTTGAAAACAACTTAGTCTTCCGTTTTGATTTCATACGAAAGTTAAATTTTTTCTTGTGGATCCAAACAAAAATATGCATCAACTAATTTTTCTAGATTACATCCTTAAAATACGCAGGACAAATCAATCTTACACCACATCATAGACACATGACATGGGAGCCTTCTTCAACACGAACACCAACTTGATCATTGAATCGCCAATTACTTGCTTTGATTGTTACACCAGGATCATCAATCTAGTTCTGAATATTTTATCGGGATCCTCAATCTTGCTCTGATTGTTCAACCAAGATTATCAATCTAGCTCTGATACCACTTATTGGCTTTGCACAGTTGGTAATTAACACAAATAATATTTGTTGGAAGATAGAAATTCAAAGATAGGAATAGAATAAAAGCAAGACACGAAGATATAACGTGGTTTGATATAGCGTACCCACATTGGAGGGTGAGCGTGAGAACACTATATGTGCTATCTATCTATTCTTGTTTAAGGATGAAGGTACATTGCTTGTAGTCATAGAGTAATTGTGGCGCCCCTAAAACTGGGGGTCCTTTATTAACTGTTGATCACCCATCAACCCGTGGAAGATTGTTACACAATCTGACATCACATCATTAGCATCCCGTTAACTGGAATCACAAAACACAAAGTTTGGGTAGAGTTTCCCTTATACCAAGTACTCCCAAACACATAATCGGTGTACAGTTAATCACATGACCCAACCGAGGCCCAATGTATAACAATTTAAACTCTATTAATGTCTATTTAAATCATTTGTATAAAAGAACCCAAAGCCCAAAATCATGGCAAATCATTCTTAAAATTTTAGATTTTTGGAAAACCTACAGATAGGTTTGCATAGTTCTACCAATAGGTTTTGTCCACTGAAAAAGTTCTACCGCAGAAAAAGTGGCATTCTACATGTAGGTTTTGCCCACTAGATCACATCTAACAGTAGGTATGCTCAAAACCTACCGATAGGTGTGCCCATATTTGTTTGTTTCACCTGTTTTTAATTTTCAATCCACTTCAATCCATTCTATATCCATCAAACACATGTATAATGAAAATTTTCACATTGAACATGCTCCATACAAATTCTGTTACATTCATTCCCATGAATTTACATGCCAAAACTAATTTTTCATAATGATTTTACAATAACTCAAAATAAAGTCACATCTCGACTTTTCTTCATCCTTAAGGGCTCGAATGAGAGCCGTTCACCAGTGTATATCCCGCATTTGAAATATTTTCCCATAAAGGGTGAGCCATGCTCAATAGGGTATCTCCTAAAGAGGCTACTCCCCAACCTAGATGCATATAAAATGTTCACATGCAACATTTAACAAGGAAAAATCATCCCAAACAAGAACATACATTTCAATGTTGGAATTCTATCATGTCTTGCCATGAAATGAGATAAGACTCACTCATGCACTTTAACCCGAGGCCTCACCTGCTCCCACAACCCGATGCAATGCCAATGTGTAATAAATCAGTCATTGATGTTATACCTCTAATGACTATTTTTATAAAATAAAATCATGTGTTTTTGTTGGGTAGTAGAGTTTTGGTGTCTCACCGTCGATTTCGCACACCGATACACTTTTTTGGGCTTACACCGACAGAAGTGTATAAATCAGTAACCGGGTCTTGCACTCGAGGAGTATCTAGTTCTTCTTGCTATACTCGACACAAGTTTTTCATCAAACCCGTGCACTTTTGTTGAACATTGGTCCAACTATACCGAGTCCACATGTCAACCACCAAGGAAGGTGATTGACCCAACAACATGCACACACACCTACACTTATGTCTCATGTCCATGAATGTGATGCCTCCGTCCATATGCAATGTAATGAGCAATTGTAATGTCAATCTTATGTCCATATGTAATGAATATCATATGAACTATTTTTACCATATTTCAACACATATCATGGATGATTACATCT